TTAAACGTATTCATTATATGATGTTTATTAATTAATTAAAATACTTTTTCCTTATTCTTTAAATTTAATATAGAAACCATATAAAATCTAAATATAAAACTATGAATATTCAAAGACTAAAAACCTGAGGACCTTCACCTTTTTTTCTGGATCAACAGCGCCTGTTGCAGCCACTCTCAACTCTAGCTCCTTCTCCCTGTAAAATTGAGTTTAGATGGTCAAGTGAATATTTGAGCCCTTAAAGGTTTTAATTTAAATACACACAATCAGCATTTCAAATACTTGATGTTTCTCACTTCCTTTTGTTCTTTTGCTGTTCGGCTATTTGCTGTAGCAGCTCCAGTCTGTAACGTTCCTTCCTCCTCTGAGAGGCCTCATTCCCTTCAGTAGCACCTAAATAACCCAGTCACAGGTCAGAAATTACACACATTTTTATATATACTCTACATACAGTTTGATTTGACCCAACACTCATTGTCTTACCAATCATGAGTCCTGTGGCAAACTCAGTCATGTTCTGCTCGTTGACAGATCTGCTTTGCACTGGAGTCGGTGCTTGTAGACTACATCAAAATCACACAAAGGAACAAAAATCTCCATCCAGTGTCTTACACTAAACACACCCTGATCTCTGCAGCCCCGGCCAAACTATTACGTCAAACACATCACATATACAGTGAATTAAAGAGCCTGGCTGCAGAGCCATCAGAGGCTTTGAGCCTCCTCATCAACACCAATCAATACAATCCCACTGATGGAATGCACAATAAATCCAGCCGATCCACAAAACTCAGCGTTTCCTGTCTCTGTATTGTTAGAAACCCTCAAGTACAACCTACAAAAGACATGAAATCTTAAAGGTAAAATGAAGACTGAAAACCATCACACCAATTTTTTTTTCCCACCACAGGCGGACTCGAAAGGCAGCAAAATTGATAGGAGGGTTTATAAATACAGACTTCTGCTAGAGTAATTGCCACTTCAGCTATTTGATTCACTGTAGTTTTATTTTCAGTGAAAGACTGGCTTTAAACCCCAATTACTCTAATTGCAGATCAGTGCTTGAGTTGAAGTGCTGTTAGGGTCTGTCTATTCTGTTGACAGCTGTCTGCATTAACTGTGTCTAGTAGGAAAGACGTCAAATTTAACAGAGATTACAGCCTGTACAACCTTTCTACTTTCTACATTTGCTTATATTTGGCTCTTCAACTGTTCAAGTTATTTTTATTTGAATGTTGCTATGGTGATGATAGTTATTTTTCGCAGATATAGTCGGTTTGGTTGAGGTTGTTAATTTCACGTCCTCTACAAGTTGTGAAAAACACCATCTGCGAGTGCTTCTTTTTTATATTATTGCACAAACATATTTAAGCCTTTTTGCCTGCTTAAACCATCTTTCCATTTATACATTATATTGCACTATAATATAATTACAAAATAGAAAACATTTATTATAAATTTTAATAATATTTTACAGCAATGATGTTTTAACGTATTTTTGATCAAATAAATGTAGCTTTGGTGAACATGAGAGAGTTCTTTCAAAAACATTTTTTAAAATCATTTCAACCCTAAACTTTTGGCAATGGTAAGGGAAATGGATATTAAATATGATATTCAATATTCACATTTTTTAATTTTTTATTTAATTATTTATAATGTGAGAAATGAGAATTATTTATCATGTTTATTAGCCATTGTACAAAAATATCTTACGCCACAATGCCACAAATGACCAATCAGAATTAAGTACTACAGACTAATTTGTGATAAAAATGCATAAAATTATAACCAAAATTATACAACCAATCTGCACTATGGTAAAATCTGCACCGTGCACTTATTTATGGTAACAAATATGTAATATATGCAAAATGTATCTGAAAATTAAAAAAAATAAAATAAATAAATGAATCCACATTTATATATATATATATATATATATATATACTTTACGTAAGCAACATCTATTTAAAACATTTTCAAAATGCAATTATATTCTAGAAAATTTAATAAATGGACATGCGTGGGGATGAATTACATAGATATATCATTTTGTGAATGACACTCACTCATAATCCCTTCCAATTCATGGGGTTTTCATCAGAGTTCCATATGGGCCTAATTATAACCTATACATCTGACTTGAGACGGAAGTCCCTCAAGTGAATATTATTCTTATTCTTATGTTTCCACAAATACAACCACATCAACTTCTGAGTGCCACCAGAATAAACAGCAATAGAGAGAACATGTAAGATGCACCTGTGAGAGCTGTTGTCGTGTTTTCCTCCTCTCCTGGTTTTGCCTGTGTCTTCCTGTACATTTCTATGCCTCTCCTTCTCTAGGAGCTCTATTTCCTCATCAGAACTGGTGTGATCTCGGTGAGGGCCTCCCCAGCGATCCGGCACTCCAGAAATGGGCTCAGTCACAGTGGCAACATCCCTTTTTGAGAACACAATGTTCTCCAGGCTCTGACTGGCCCTTTGCGCTTGTACCTCTAGAGAACCAGTAGGGTACTTTGGAGTAATAGAGCCAAAGCGATCTCTCTCCAGGGCCTGACAGTAACATGATCAAAATATGCTGAGGATTCAAGGCAAAGTTCAGGTCTACAGAATTTAAAAGAATAGTTCACCCAAAAATCTGTTCCAATGAAGAAACAAACTCATCTACATCTTGGATGGCCCTAGGGTCAGTGTTGGGGGTATCTCATTACAAGTAATGCGAGTTACGTAATCAGATTACTTTTTTCAAGTAACTAGTAAAGTAATTTTTTAATTTACAAGAAAATATCTGAGTTACTTTTTCAAAAAAGTAATGCCAGTTACTTTGTTTTCCCATTTATTGACTGACAGCTCTCCTGTCCACATATTGGGAGAAATCAGGAGTACAGAGGCGTTGTATGACCATGATGTTACTGTAGTTCTAGACTAAATGTGAATGTGCATTAATTCATCCCACTCACAAAAAACAGATTTAGTATTCATCAAAATGAATTAAAACAGTGAAATGCAAACTCAGAATATGACGCAAACCTGCAATAATTAAATATGTTAAATAACACAAATGTATCTAATCCCATTTTATTAACCAATATCTCTGCTGCTGACCTTTGATGATCCAGTTCAACCATACTAATAAGCAAAAATGACTTTAGAGAAACTAACAATTGTGCTTTGTTTTTTTATTGCTGAAGAGTGTTTCTTCTCCTGCGTTCTACTGTACAGACGTGATTTTACTTTTCCTTCAGCCTGAGGTTTATTCATTACACTTTTTGGTGTGAAAGGGCTTTTACATTTGCTATAAATAGAACTTCTTATATTAAAAACAATCAAGCCCTGCTTATATTTAAAAAGTAACGCGAAAGTAATATAACGCTTTACTTTCCATAAAAAGTAACTAAGTAACGTAATTAGTTACTTTTTTAGGGAGTAACACAATATTGTAATGCATTACTTTGTAAAGTAACTTTCCCCAACACTGCCTAGGGTTAATAAATTGTCAGCAAATCTTCATTTTTGGGCGAACTATTTCTTTTAAAATGTTTAAATGGTTCAATAAGGACATTTGTGAAGGTAACTTATTCCTAATGTTGATGTATAGGTCATATTTCAACAAACTAGTGTTTTATTTCATTCATACCTGTGGGGTAGCTGAAGTTTTCCCATTTTTCTGTGCTCCCTCTTGCCCTCGGAGAAACATATTATATTCCTTGTTCCTCTCATCCTGCAGTTTTTCCTGGGTAGAAATCACAAAACTGTTACATTAACAGAACAAAACATAAAACATTTCTATGGTAATAATAAACAATTAACATTATTCCTAGTATAAGACCTCTTTATGTTTGTACGAATCTCACATTTCAAATGTGTACGCAAAACAGATCTGCAGTCCAGCAATAAACTGGTTGCCACTAGATACTTTATCCACTCAGAGTAAGCAAATCATTTTTCATGTCACTGAGGGCTTGCCAAACAGTAAGGGTGGGTCTTTGTGCAATGGACTGAAGCAGGTCATGCATGGAATGCGGAATTTGCTGTAATTATGCCTTAATTTACAGATGGACAACAAACACATATTTACTTTCGCTGATCTCCGTTCTTTTATGGGAAGAGACAGCATGTGGGACTGTGGAAGTGGATCAGCAATAATTAGATTTTTTTTCTAAGGAAGAAATAAGATGAATTAAATCTTTATAAAAAAATAATAATTTTAAATGATTAACAAACTATTTAAATATGTAGTTAAAAAAACAAACAAAAGAAAAACAGGTGTGCAAGTAATTTATTATACAGTAAATATTTATTTAAATATTATATATTAAGTTATATTATATCAGAGGAGCATAGTTTACCTCAGACATAAAGCGCCGGTAATCGAGACGTAGTTCTTGCTTTAACTTCTGCTTTTTTCTTTCATATTCCTCTCCAAGAGGTAAACTGAGGCCAAAACTCTCTTCTGGAAATAAGACGACAATATGAAACATCTCCAATAGCAAAAGTGAGAAAGAACAGACACTGCTTTTAAAATGTAATATCCAATATCAAGTATTTCCTATATGATTTTGCCTGAAATTATATTGAAATTGATCCTGCCTTTGGTCTGTTTGAGTTGTGAAGGTTGTGTTTTGTTAGCAGGTTTGATGTTCTCCTTGTTACCAAAACTTGTCTATGAAAGAAAGACAAACACTATAAATACATAGACATAAAAATGTTCATGTTTTAACACCTAAACGCATCAAGCAGCACTATTTTAATTAGAAATTAAGCTTACCTTCATCTCCATGTAAGGTGCTTCTTCTGTGTTCGCCCTTCTCTCCTCCATAAAGTTGCTGATGTTGACACTCATATTCTCCCAAACCAGAATCAGCAGTTAATAAAAAGCTCCAGACAGGAAAGAATCCCTTATCAGACGAAGCTCTTATCAATAACACAAGAGTGAATATGCTGCTCTCTGGGCATGGAAATGAAGAAATACTTGTTCAGAGGAGGAGGAGATGGAGAAGACGGGGAGTGCAGACGCTGCAAACGCAGAGGTTGTTAGGCAACAACACAACACACGCGCCTCAACCTCCCACACTTCAGACAATGGCTGTGTCCCAAAACCTAGTGGTCAGCCGATCGAAGACAGCATTTTTGAGCGCATTCTGAATCAATAATGGGAAAGCAAATCAAACCGGTGCGATCAATTCCAACCGTTTATTTGTACTTGTTAAAAATCTTGCCTGTCCAGGGTTTGATCTGACTTTCGTTTACCTGAAACTTTTACGTGACCGTCTTAAAAGTGAGCATAATGTCAACCATACGAGACGGCTATTAATAGCATCTTGCGCCTTATGTGGAACCACTGCTACTCACTAACAGAAACCATTCAAAAGTTGTTCTCACAGCTGACTATAATACATATTTCAAAATAAAAGTCCTATTTTTACTGACTGGCCTTACAAAAATGACCATGGTAACCATAGCTTCCGTTCCGCTACATAAACACTGATTCAAATTTTTTAAAGGAGGAATATCCAACGCTATCCACATATAGAATCTGGTGTAGTTTGGTGCATCGAGAGCAAAACAGACCTTTAAATGTTAAACAGAATGAATAGATGGGATCCATGCATGTGAACTGCTCATACCCTTGCCACAGAAACAACAAAAAAAAGATATTTTGGCTGTTTACTTAATTAAGTAATACAATTGCATCACTGCATAGAAGTCATGTAGGCTACATGCAAATTAACTGAAATGCAAATTAGAAATGAATGTACCATGTGGCCAGTCAGCCAGAACTGAAAACGTGCTATGCTTGGTTCAGTCCAGCAGATGGCACAAACAAATGTCTTGATTGTGTACAATCACTGATAATGTTGCAAGCAGCCACGTGAACGTCTGTTGATGGCCAAGCAGATGCAAAGCACATGTGCTTTTTTAATTTTTTTATTCAAAGAACAATAACACACAATATGTTATCAAGAAAACAATATTAAAATAAGAAAAGAAAAAGAAAAATATAGAAGGACAAATTACAACAAACAAAAACAGTTGCCAGGGGGAGGAAAGTATAAAACTTCAAAACAAAAATACAAGATATATATACATACACGTGTACGTATATATAAAATCAAATAAATATATTGTAAAGTTCTCAAACTTTCAAAGTTCTGACAGCTTTCTTATTCACAGAGTCTCTGATACTGTCAATTCAGTCAACAAAACCATAAAATTTGGTTTTTATTTGTAAATTTACACTTATGAATGTGAAATTTGGTCAATAGAATAAGTAAATTAATCGAGTAAAAGTACTGTTCCTCTTGGTCAGGATAGTCAGTAAAGCCAACGAGTACATTTTCCCATAGGAGTGAAGAAGGTCTTAAACTCTGAATATTTTCGCTAATACATTTTTGGACCTTACACCATAGTGTAACTGAGTATGTACAGTACCAAAATAAGTGCAAGTTACAAAAAAATACAATTTACATTTATTCCTTTTTTAAATTTTTGTAAATAATGATTTGCTGGATAAAATCTATGAATAAGCTTATAAGAAACTTCTTTCATCTTATTTCTAAGATGATATTTCTGTGGTAACAACCAAACTTTTCTCCAGCAAATCAATTTTCCGTTCAATAAAGAGACCCAATGAGACAAAACATACGGTACAGTAACAATTTCTCTTTGGAAAAGAGTACGGATAGCTCTATTATTATTTTTTGGGGTTTGCAAAGCAAAGCACATGTGCTGTTAATCTGACTTATATCAGCTGTTTCATTTTAGATGAGTCTGTCATGAGATGAAATATCATGTCTGTTTTAATGCTGATGTGCACCTATTTGTCGCTATCTTGAATTGTGATATCAAAGTGCTTTGAAGATGTATCATTTGCATATGAAATCTTTATATTAATATTTTCTAATTCCTCATATGAAACGCTTAGAACAGACAGACAGACAGACAATAGATAGATAGATAGATAGATAGATAGATAGATAGATAGATAGATAGATAGATAGATAGATAGATGGACGGATGGATGGATGGAGAGATGGATAGATAGATAGATGGATACATAGACGAATAGATAGACGGATAGATAGATGGATGGATGGATGGATAGATAGATAGACGGATGGATAGACGGATGGATAGATAGATGGATAGATAGATAGATGATTGATAGATAGATAGATAGATAGATAGATAGATAGATAGATGATAGATAGATAGATAGATAGATAGATAGATAGATAGATAGATAGATAGATATTTAAATATTTAAATATTTTTAATATTTTAATTTTAATATAACATTTGCTCTAAGAAATTGTATACAATTAAAGATGTTAAATATATTTAATTATATAAAATATAGAACGATAGATTAAATACAACAATTAAGAGATAGAGTAATTACATTTTATTAAACACAATTCTTGTCTTAAATTATATTGTTAAATATAATTTAATACCGGTATATTCAGTTATTTGTTTTCTTTGGAGCTTAGAACGACAGACAGACAGAGATAGATGGGGGGAGGGATACTGTAATTTTTGTTCTAAAAATTGTATTGTATATAATTGAATTTGTTAAATATATTTAATCACATAAAACATATTTAAATATATTAAATTATTTGTTTTCTTTGGAGCTTAGAACGCCAGACAGACAGAGAGACAGACAGACAGCCTGGCGTGCCTGCTGTACTGTTCTGCGTTTGATGAACTTATGAAATATTCTTATTCTTTTGATAGACTACTTATGTTTTCTCATTGGATCTTTGCACGTCCGCTTGGCGGATCCCAGCTACTCGAAGTGCATGACGTAATTTCCGCTCGTGTCTTGGCAGGGAGGAGGCGGGGTGTTGAAATGACATTCGGCCCCACCAACCAAAGCATATTTCCCGAAGCCTCGTTGATTAGGAGCAATAAAGCGCTCTTGACATCCGTCCAGAAAGACGGAGACACTTATTAGCCAGATAGCTGGCTGAACACCTTACGGCAAAATGGCGGCGGGTAATGTCAACCCGTTTAACGTGAGTGATTCGGAGGAGGAAGCGGAGCAGAGGCAGGATGACGCGGACACCGAGCGCAGCCCGAGTGATGAAGCGCAAGGCCATAGCCTCGGTCCCTTCTCCCCGCCGGCGTACTCCGAGCCAGCCGTTCTGCTGTCCAGCAACAGAACAAGCCCGAGTGTGGACGGTATACCCGCGTCGGCCGCTGCGGTGGCTGGGATCGGAGGAGGAGGCGCAGAGACTCGGGTGTCGCTGGATGCGATCGCCGCGCAGCTGCTCCGGGATCAGTACATCCTCACGGCCCTGGAGCTGCACACCGAGCTGCTGGAAGCCGGACGCGAGCTGCCTCGCCTGCGGGATTATTTCTCCAATCCAGGCAATTTCGAAAGGCAGAGCGGAACTCCACCCGCATGCAAAGAGCAAGGTGTCGGTCCTGGAGGTCCACTTAGTAAGTCATGAGATTATGTTAATAATGTAGGTCCAACTGCAATAAAGCCTATAATCTTACTATATGAGGTAATGGTCGTGTTTCAAAAACTACGAGACTGTATATCCTACTCAAAAACATTTAAAATAATTCTAAAATGGTTTACTGGTCTCCTAACCTGGTTAGGCTGGCTGGTTTTAAGGCTTTGGACACTTGTCAGCTGGTCGACCAGTTAAACTAGCTGAACTCCACTTGGCCAGTCTGGAAGACCAGCTAGACTAGGTAAACCAGCCAGGGAGACCATATTAGTCTGGTTTAAGAGTGTTTTTTTTTTAATTATTTTACATTAGGACACCTAGTTAGCACCTAAATTAATGCCCAAAAATGCTTTCTAGGTAGGCAGCTCACTAGGTTTTGGAGCTGGACACCTAGTTAGCACCTAAATTAATGCCCAAAAATGCTGTCTAGGTAGACAGCTCACTAGGTTTTGTAACAAAGCCACAATTTTCTTTTGCTCTTTAAACAGCCATAAAATACACCAACACAGCAGCTTTTAGTACTCTAGCTACCTAGACTACCTGTTAATTTCATATTGCGGTTTATTGTGCTTCAGTCTAAGGCATTCAAGCGCACTGGTTTGTTGAGGAGGCATTTTTAGGGCTGGATTGTGTCTTTGTTGTGTGATGTGATGTGAAGTCTTCCCACTGACTCTCAGCTGTGCAGGTGCAGGATAGAAAGAGGAGAAAAAAAGATGCTCATATGAGGGGTATGTAAAACCTGACTGTGCAGTGACGTGGGATTGATGTACTTTGTTTGGTTTAATCAGGAATTCTTTTCGTGGTCTGTCTTTCTTATACCTTTGCTCCTAAATGAAGTTTTTTATCTGATAGCCTGCACTCATCTGCCTCCTATTTGCCTTTCAAAGCATGGCTTTTGAATTTGTTTTTCTTGATTACTAGGTTGCATGTAGTTACAGTGTGTGGATTGACAATTGCTAGATCCAATTATAGTGTTGATCATTTATAAAAGAATTTCATTGATTAAAGATTTCTTTTTGCAAGACAATCGACCCTTTGTTAAAAGGAGCTGTTTCTTCTTTGAAATCAGTTACAAAAATCAATAATCTATCGGGAAAGTTCATGCAAAAAATGTAAATTCTGTCATCATTTACTTACCCCCATGGTGTTTCAAAGCTGGTGTCTTTCTTCTGTGGAACACAAAAGAAGATATTTTGAAGAATACTGGCAACCAAAACGTTTTTGGTTACCATTGACTTCTATTATTTGGACAAAAAAAGATATTTCTCAAAATAGCTTATTTTATGTTCCACAGAAGAAAGATTCTCTTACAGTTTTGCAACATCAGAGTGAGTAAATGACAGAATCATCTTTTTGGGGGAAGCTGTCACTTTAAGACCCACCTTAAAAAAATTTTATTGACAAATTGTACCTTAGCAACTGTTGCCATTCACCATATAATTAGGAAAGCTTTTGTTCTGATGTGTTTGGACAGTTATAGAATATTGCATAAATTATGGGGGGAAGTGTTAACCAGTGACAAAGACTCAGGGAGGTTTTTTTTGTTGTTGTTGTTTTTTTTACTCTTAAACTTTTATTTTTTTTTAAAGTAAAGTGTTGTGGATTAAACTGCTGTAACCTTCATTCACAAATTAACAATTATAATATCATTAAATAAAAATAATGTTAAATAGTCAACATTTTAATAAATAGTAATGTAAAAAATAAATACAAATTTTA